TTTGATTCAAATTCGCTCTTTCCCACGAGAAACGAAAATAAATTGTTGGTCATTAGTCTCTAGTCTCCTGGAACATCATCAATCTTACAGTGTTTTCAGAGGAGATTTTCACACGAGCTAGAGTCAAATACAGAACAACCAACTCAGTCCACCTGTCCTCAGTCCACCTGAGCCTGAGCTACTGGAGGAGGAGCTTGAGCTAATGGGGGAGGAGCCTGACATTGTAGGGAGGAGCCTCAGCTTAAACAGAGCTCTTGAACCATACACCTCCAGACGGGTGGACCTGCCAGATCTCTGCATCCCCAGGGGAGGTGCTAGAGATGGGGTGGGCTCGCTCCTCTCAGCTACAGGTGTTGGAGATCTCCAGTGGATGAGAGAGGGCAAGGTTCCTCCTGCTAAAGGTGGGGAACAGATCTCTCACTCTGGGGGCCCCAAACACCAGGGCAGACTTACATGGCTTTTTCGTACACAAAAGATGAAGAGAGACCAGAGAGAGACCAAAAAGAGAGAGAGATGTTAGACAAATCAGAGAGACCAGAGCGAGACCAGGAAGACCAGCCAGAACCAAGAGACTAGAGAGAGACCAGCGAGAGACCAGCGAGAGACCAAAGAGAGACCAGAGAGATGAGAACGCAGAGACAACACAAAAGATTTTTTTCTAATGAGATGTTGTGGTCTGACTTGTGGTCCTCAAGATAAACCCTAACGCGTAAAGTTACGTCCCCCAGCTTTACTGAGGCCCGTGCTGTTGTTGGCTGCAGCTCTGTGTTCTCAGCTGTTGGTCTTTCTCAATAACTGCTCACTTCAGAGGAGGAGGAGGTTTCATCACGATGTTTGGTTCCAAAACATTTCCTGATGTTGTTTTTGTTTCTGCTCTGACGACTTTCGCGGAGCATTCGTTTTCAGCTAAGTTTAAACTGATGAAAGAGAAAACACTCAAGCATCCATGAATCACTATGAACACAACGGAACGAAAGCTGTTGTAACGTGGACAATCGAGACGAAAAGTCCATTTGTAGAATTTCTCTATAGACCAAAGATCAGAAGGTTTGTGATACTGGTTAAAATATAAATCAAAATCAGCCGAGAGGTGAACCAGACGGTATCAGGAGAATCCAGGGTTTACTGTTACAGTTGACCCTGGTTAATCATAGGGGTTACGTTCTATAAATAACCTGTGATAAGTGAAATCCTTGAAGTGACAACTCTATGTTTTAAGGCTGTAAAACCCCTCGCACACATTCTATACACTTTTCCAACCGCTGAACTCACGCCTGCTGAAGTGCGATCGCAGAAATATCAAACCAGTTTGTTCTAGGTCCGTGCGCTGCTGCAGCTGTCAATTAGAATACAGCAGCAGAGGAGCAACTTGCATGTTCTATTAGAGGTTATATGATGTTGTTGGAGTATTTACACAACAAAAGACCAAAAAGGAGAGACCAGAGAAAGTTGTAAGAAACATAACTGTCATGTTTGGAGTATACACTTGGCGTATTAGAAGCACAGTTTTACTTGTCTGAGTGATGATGTCATTAACCTGCAGTGTTGTATAATTTATGCACAAGCAAACATTGCGGTCTGGAAAATTCTTGTGTTCGGACAGTGTGAAAGTGAATCTGTTCAGAAGTTACAAAGCTCCACTGTGCAGGCCAAGCAGCAGGATCTTAAAGTTGCCCAGTATAATGCCTTCAGGATGCAGCTGAAAAGCGCAGGTCCTGTACAGTAGGACCTCACTTGCAGTCGGCTCACCATTTGCTGCATCTCTGTTTTGCATATTTTGTGTGTGTCCATTTTATCTATTTTTGGGTGCTTCTAATACGCCGTGTGTATACGCCACCAACATCTTATAACCGCTAGTATAACATGACAGTTACCTTTGTTTACTGAGCTAGAGGAGTTCACTTTTCTATATACAGGCTAAGGTAGAAACACTCATTTGGCTCAAAGCTGGCTCTTGGAACATTCCTCTGCAGATGTGAATAGCTGAAAGGTCTGAAGGAAAACAGCTGCAAGGTCTGCAATGTAAATGTGTGAAGGGACTAATGCTTTTGAGGTTTCTCTCCTCTCGCCACGTCCCAACACTGTTCCCAAACACATCCCCCTGCCCCTTCGGTTCGAATGATCTGTTCTCAAACTTCATTGTGGTTTGTGATGTTGAGATTGTTTTGAAGTCTGTGAGTTATGAAGGATTTTTGAGGTTGAAGTCCAAACGTCGCTGAGGGTTTTAGTGCGGCTCATAAAGAACGCTGTTCAGGAACAAAAGTCTACGCTGACAATAAACCAACATTATACTATCAATAAAAAGAAGATATGTTACACAGAATTCTATCAATTTACATAATAATGAGACGGTTTACTTTGTCATTTTATATTTTAGAACGTGAAATAATATCTTCAGTGGATAATACTGTATGGAGAACCAAGTATCAAGGCTAAAAAATGCTTTCCGTCTGTAACTCCCTATTTTGCCACCAAAGGGAGGCTGAAAACACCGACATGTGATTGTAAAGAACATAATTTCACATGAGTGACTGATGGTCTCTCTCTCTGCTCTCTCTCTCGAATGTCTCTGGTCTCTCTGGTTTTTCTCGGGTTTCTCTTACTAGTCTCTCTCTGGTCTCTCTACTTTTGTTTTAAGCAGAAAACTGCTCTGAGTATTTCATAGTGATACAATAACATCATAGTATTACCGGACTGAGACAAGAGTTTTTAGAGAGAAGGGGCGGTGCTACATTTTTGTGCTTGGTTTATATAATATTTTTTTGGATGGCTTAAAGGCACACCGTGTAACTCTTGGCCACTAGGGGCACTAGACCTGCAACTTTCACGTTTAGCGCCCCTAGTGGCCACAAGCAACTCAGCACTGTCGCAAAAGTCAACAAACAGTCAGCCGGTGTCTTTTGAGTGTGTATTCAGACAGCATGCACTGGTGTGTGTGTTCAAACTGTAGAGACATGCCTACAGATATTGAGAGACTCTGCTGTGGTCAGCCTCCAGACCGCTGCATTAGTAATCTACCACACATGGACTTCTATATCCTGGATGAGGGAGTTCTGCGTCTAGCTCGTGCTGCGTGGAATGACATCTTTGCAGTTGATGACATCCAGGAACCAGGTGAAGAGCAGCGCTCATACAGACATGCAGCTTACAGCACGATCCCTTTCGCGTTTTCCTCTTTTTAGCCTCCTCCGAAGGTTTAAAATTTTTCCTTGCCTCAGCCATGACCAGGAGTCGAGCAGGTGAAAAATGAGTAGCAAAAGCCTTAGCTCCATGAGTATATCAGCGCCTGTAGCCGTAAAGCAAGTCTTTCTTCCAAGTCACGTGACCTGGTGGCAGACGGTCCGTCTGCTCGAAACTTACATGGGCGGTATTTCAAGAGGGCAGCCCCGCTCGGAGCATTGCAAGTGTCAAGCGCTGTATATTGGCCCAAGTATTCATATAAAATAACTCATATGTGTCAACTCTTTAGGTCACAAAGTCCGCGGTGTGCCTTTAAGGCTTAATGTGGAAGTAGCCGATTTGAACATAAGCTAGCTGGAACCAATTTCCTTTGTTTTTATATATGGGCATTCGACCCTATGGCGTTGACTTTGTGCCTTAACAGGGGCAGTCAATTTTCATATCTGGTTCATATCTGGATTCACAGAGACAACGTTGAATTATAAACCAGGATCACAGAGAGTGCTAAAGCTCAGATCTTTAAGCATATCATGGTGAGTGTGACACACGGCTTCTGAGCTACAGGATTTTACTTTTCAATGTAAGTAAATAAAATGCAGAGAAAGTTGGAGAAAAACCATGAGCACTTCCCTATTGGGCTTCATTGAGCTAGCGGGTTAACATCGGCCATCTGTATACAGTCTATTATTAGAGCAGACACAAACAGGCTCCACGAGGTTTAGCCATTAAAGTGTGTTATTTTACAAAGAACTATTTTCTTCTTCAATATTTTGTGGCTGAGGCAAAGATAATATTGTTCTATCGTGTTAGTTATCGGTAAGTGGGCGTATGGTCAAAGCTCAGATACATGTACAGTATATATGGTTGTTTTTGCAGACGCGGCGGTGGACGACGGCGGTGGAGGCTCAGCGCTGTTCCCAGGTGCTGCTTTAGGATTAGATCAGTGAAACAGGCTGATGGATGATGACGTTTATGAGCTCTGTGATTTCACTGTAGTCGTAAACGCATTAGGAGAACAGTGTGTCACAAAGTGCAGGGCGTGGACAATGTGAGTCCTCTGCTTTCGACTGTAGCTGAAAAGTTTGCAATATTAAAGGTCATAATGATCTGTCCCGGAAAACCTGGTCTGAGGATGTGACCAAACATACATGCGGGTGAAAACTAGTGATGGAAACAGACTTTTTTAGAGGGTCTGATGATGGCTTGGTCTGGTCCTGGTCTTGTTTTGGGTGTGGTTAGGGTCAAATTATGCCTTGGGTCTGGTCCTGGTCCTCATCCTGGTCTAGGTCCGGTCTGAGTCTAATGATGGATGGGTATGGTCTGGTCTGGGTCAAATGATGGCGTGGGTCTGGTCTAGTCCTGGTCCTGGTTGGGATCTAAAATGGCTGGAGTCTGGTCAATTCTTGGTCCTGGTCTCTCTCTAAGATGGCTTGGGTCTGGTCTGGTCCTGGTCCTGGTTTGGATCTAAAATGGCTGGAGTCTGGTCAATTCTTGGTCCTGGTCTCTCTCTAAGATGGCTTGGGTCTGGTCTAGTCCTGGTCCTGGTTTGGATCTAAAATGGCTGGAGTCTGGTCAATTCTTGGTCCTGGTCTCTCTCTAAGATGGCTTGGGTCTGGTCTAGTCCTGGTCCTGGTTTGGATCTAAAATGGCTGGAGTCTGGTCAATTCTTGGTCCTGGTCTCTCTCTAAGATGGCTTGGATCTGGTCTGGTCCAGGTGGAGCTTTGTGGTATACGCACACACAGACCGTCTGACCAGGGTCACACAGAGCACTAAACTACAGATTGTTAAGCCCAGAATGGTGAGTGTGACACAAATCTACCTCTGCCCTCATTGTGCATGCTGTTCAGGACATGGGAGTAGTTGATGGGCGGGTTGTCGTAGAACACCAGCTCCTCCCCGGTCACGTTGACTCGGCTCAGCTCCTCGTACAGCCCCTCGGTGGCGAAGTAGAACGGCCGGTCGTCCTTCTTGCTGTCGCTGAAAACTAGCAGAACCTTCTCGGACCAGCCAAAGTGCTCGCACAGGCGCAGAGCAAACCGGCCCAGCTTCTTGTGCGTGGGCCCCGTGTTGGTAATGGATGGGTACACGTCGTAGAAGGCCACGGCCGGAGCACCCGCCGTTACCATGGGGACATCCCAGTGCTCAGTGAAGCGCCCCACGGGAGCGGCCGCGTATGAGCAGCCGGGGCCGATGAAGGCCCAGGGGTTGTAGGCCATCTGCAGAGGAACGAGAGGGTGAGAGTCTGCTCCGTCTGCATTCTAAACACTCTGCTGTCTGTCTGCAAAAGTCCCCTCAAGTCCCTCAAACCTGGTCTACAGTCTCAGTCCTGGTCTACAGCCTCAGTCCCGGATCTACAGCCGCTGCCCTCACTCTCAGGCCTCACTCTCAACCCTCACTCTCAGTCCTGGACTTTTTAGTAGAATAAAGTTATTTGGTTCTTCTTCTAGACCAGTCCTGGATCTACAGCCTCAGTCCTGGATGGCCAAATTAAAATACTTAAAACTGTTTGGATAAAGGTCATAGTTCATTAGGACAGTATCTGTGGCAAAGTTCTGGGAAAGCAACTGCATAGCAACCAAAGAGCCAATCAGGAACTCAACTGGTCTGTTCCTATTGCTTCGTTGCGATCACGTTGTCCAAAGGGGCGTGGCAGGGGGCCTAGGACAGGAAGTATTTTTGTCCTATTAGTTAGACAGGGCGATGCGGGAAAACAGGCACATAGGAGCAGGCAAACCTTTATGACCCTTTATTGTAATTCTAGTGATTTTTTTAGCTGTTAATTAAAAGAAATTAGACTTAAGCTTTACAGCATTAAGCTAACAACGAGGGGCTGCAACAAATGCAGCCGAACCTTGTGGCACAGAGCTTTTAGATGCTGTAGAAATGACCCTGGTCCTAACAGTCCCAAACCCTGGTCCTAACAGTCCCAAACCCTGGTCCTAACAGTCCCAAACCCTGGTCCTAACGGTCCTAGTCGTGGAAATGGGAATATTAGAGGTTTTCACTCTTTTAAAGTAATGCCTCGTATGAAACGTAATGAAAACCAGATTCTTTTGTTAGAAGACATAGACTACTCAGTGTTTTTTAACGAGAATAAGTTGGTTTAAGACGACCTGTGGAATTTGAAAATGCATTTAACAGTTCTTGTTGCCTCGGTCACTGCAACCGTATACTTCAAAAAGACTGCAGTGTTTCTCTGAAAGTCAGCGCAGTGAAGATTCCATTATTTCGCCACAACCTTACACGCCACAGAAAAAGAGCATTTTGACTCAGAATCAGTGAATAATAATATGGTTCTTTAAGGCCTCCCTCGGACGACTAACGCGTCACTGTGTGACGTCTGCAACCCAGCAATTTGCATTATGGACAGAAGGCTCCTGATTGGTCAGTTATTAGGGCTCATATCTGGATTTACAAAGACAAAGTCACATTATAAACACAATTATCACAGAGAGCGCTAAACCATAGATTATTAAACCCAAAACGATGAGTGTGACAGAAATTATTACAGAGAAAGAGTTTATGTTTAGAGTTTAGATCTCTCTCTGCACATTCATCAGTCAAAATTAGCTGTTATTTAAGCCGTACTTTGAGGTCCACGGCCATAAGCGGGGCCGACGACTCGGAGCAAATCCCGTTCTTGTCCTGACTCGACTTAAACTGGTACGAGAGGCGGTGTGCGGGCAGCAGGCTGGGGTCCGCGTTCACCCGCCTCACTGCGCTCTCAATGGCTGCACCGATGCGAGGCCACGCCCACGGGTACTTTGTGTTGTTGTGGGGCAGGATGACGGCAAGGGTGACGTTGGGCCTGTGGTCTGGTTCATGGTCCGATCCATGGTCTGGTCTGTGGTGGGATCTGGGCTTTCGGGACAGGCCTGGGCAGGGAAGCAGGAGGAGCAGCAGGCAGTGGAACCACAGGGAGGCCATTCTCACACAAACTCAATTATTCACAATGCTGAAACAAAACACACGATGGAGAAATGTCAGTGGAGAACAGGTTTGAAGGACCAAGATTATACTGTATATGAATAGAACAGACACCAGAGAGAAACCAGAGAGAGAGAGTCAAACTTTGGGACGAGACTTGGTGCGATGGCAAGGGCTCTGATGTGTACTATCTGGGTGCACAAAGGGGTACTCTTGAATAGTTAATCCAATGTTTTTTTTTATTGCAAATTGCAAATAAACTATATCTCAATCAGACCAGAGAAAGAGACTAGAGAAAGACCAGTAACACAGACCAGTGAGACAGACCATAGAACGAGACCAGAGAGAGAGGAGCAGTCATTATTAAGTGTTATTCCTTGACATGTGTGTAGTTTTATATGTGTGCAATATACTGCTGCCAATGTACAGATGTAAACACACTGCTGCTAATGTACAGATGTAAACACACTGCTGCTAATGTACAGATGTAAACACACTGCTGCTAATGTACAGGTGTAAACATACTGCTGCTAATGTACAGTTGTAAACATACTGCTGCTAATGTACAGGTGTAAACATACTGCTGCTAATGTACAGATGTAAACATACTGCTGCTAATGTACAGATGTAAACATACTGCTGCTAATGTACAGTTGTAAACATACTGCTGCTAATGTACAGGTGTAAACATACTGCTGCTAATGTACAGATGTAAACCTTGAAGACAGGAAGTACTTTGTGGAGATTGGAAACTGTGTCTCAGATCATATGGCCCTGACCTGTGGAGTACCACAGGGGTCGATCCTGGGACCTCTTCTGTTCAATCTCTACATGCTGCCGTTAGGTCAGTTAATACGCAGAAACAAAGTGTCCTATCATAACTATGCAGACGACACTCAGATCTATGTCTCACTGACTGCAGGAGAACATGGACCAGTGGACTCACTCCTTCACTGTATCCAACAGATCAGTGAGTGGATGCAAAACAACTTCCTTCAGCTAAACGCAGACAAAACTGAAATGATTGTCTTTGGTCCCCAGAAACAAAGAGAGAGCGTCATCTGTCACCTACAGTCTCTCTCCCTAAAACCTTCAAACAAGGTCAGAAATCTAGGGGTAATACTGGACTCAGACTTAAATTTTAATAGCCACATCAAATCAGTAACATCAGCAGCTTTTTACCATCTAAAAAACATTGCCAGGATCAAAAACATAGTGTCTAAAGCAGACCTGGAGATTCTTATCCATGCATTTGTCTCCAGTAGGTTAGACTACTGCAATGGCCTGCTCACAGGTCTGTCCAAACAGGCTGTAAAACAGCTGCAGTACATTCAAAATGCAGCAGCTCGAGTCCTGACTAGAACCAGGAAGTACGACCACATTAGTCCTGACTAGAACCAGGAAGTACGACAACATTAGTCCTGACTAGAACCAGGAAGTACGACCACATTAGTCCCGACTAGAACCAGGAAGTACGACCATATTAGTCCTGACAAGAAACCAGGAAGTACGACCATATTAGTCCTGACAAGAAACCAGGAAGTACGACCACATTAGTCCTGACTAGAACCAGGAAGTACGACCACATTAGTCCTGACTAGAAGTAAGTAGTAGTAGTAAGTATTTATTTATATACCGCCTTTTCACTGCAGATCTGAGTCTCAAAGCGGTTTACAATTGTTAATTTTTTGTGCATTAGTCTCTCACTCCACACAGAGATGGGAGCGGGGCCAGTACAGGAGGCGCATGCTAGAACTATTGGACATATTTTTAGTGGTAGGGGAAACCGGAGTACCCGGAGGAAACCTACGCAGACACGGGGAGAACATGCAAACTCCACTCAGAAAGGCCCTGGTCCGACCGGGATTCGAACCCAGGACCTTCTTGCTGAGAGGCGAGAGTGCTATCCACTCAGCCACCGTGCCGCCCAGAACCAGGAAGTACGACCATATTAGTCCAGTCCTCAGGTCTCTGCACTGGCTTCCTGTGGCTCAGAGAATAGACTTTAAAACAGCTCTGCTTGTTACAAGTCTCTCCATGGCCTCGCACCAAAATATATTAGTGACATGTTAGTCCCATATGAACCAGCCCGGACTCTGAGGAGCACAGGGACTGGACTCCTGTTAGTGCCCAGAGTCAGAACTAAACATGGGGAGGCTGCTTTTCAGATTCATGCTGCTAAAATCTGGAACAATCTTCCTGAAGATGTGAGACAGGCCTCCTCAATGACAATGTTTAAAACCAGGTTAAAAACGGTTCTGTTTAGCTGCGCTACAACTGAGGGATTTTATATTTTTATCTTTCTTTTTAATGTACTGTGATTATTTATGATTTTAATGCTTTCTTATTTTGTTCAGCACTTTGAATTGCCTTGTGTATGAATTGTGCTATATAAATAAACTTGCCTTGCCTTGTAAACATACTGCCGCTAATGAACAGATGCTAACATATACACTTTACTTGCACTAGAATACACAGTACTTTATACTTGCCTCTTATTTTGTCAATGTTAAATTTTTACATCTATTATATTTTCAAGATAGAGATTGTATACTTATTATTGATGCTAGAGTTAAATTGTTTTTTATTTTTATTAGTATAGCTTTTGTTCACTTAACGTGTGCCGTGTGCTCCTCTTTCCTACTGTTCTATAACCTGCGATGCAACACTGAAATTTCACCACTGTGGGACAAATAAAGGATCTCTTAATCTCTTAACCTCCTCCCCCTAACCCATGTGTAAGCACCGGTCTAGAAAACACATTATTTGATACTTATTTAATTTAAAAAAAAATCAGAGACGACAAATCAACACAAATCCAGTTTTAAGGATATAACTTGTGGGGTACCACAAGGGTCAATACTGGTACCCACATTATTCAGGATTTCTTAAGTCAGCGTGTTACATGGCACACCACCAGCTGAAACTCTAAAGCCTTTATTAACAACTAAAAATCCTTCTTGTTAAGAGTTTTCTGATAGAAAATCAAATCAGTGGAAAAAAGCCTTTCTAATCTTTTCACATTATTTTCTTCTGACATTATTTTGACCCATCAGGTGATATTGGACCATTTCCAAACGCACACCAAACAACATCTCAAGGCACACTAACGAGCCACGGCACACTGGTTGAAAAACACTGAATGATGGAAAGATCCACCATCAGATTGTGTCATTCATTCATAATGTCACTGAGCATTCCGTGAGGGGGAGGGACCAGATTGTGGAGGAACAGCGTTGCAGCGTGACACTGTGGAGAGCCAAGTCTGTGGAGAGGCGAGCCCACAGTCGGACACATTTTTCCACTGTTCTCAAATCAAGACAAATGAAACCTCACCTCTGCTTCCATCGTCAGCTCCAAGGGCTGTTTCCAAGGTCCACAAGTCCTGGTTCAGTGCTGTTTTAGACCTGTTTCAGACTTTCTTTTGACTCGGCTTTAGTCCTGTTTTAGACGTGCTTTAGTCTCTGCTTTAGACCTGGTTTAGTTCTGCTTTAGTCCTGTTTCTTTATCTGCTTTAGCCCTGTTTTAGACTTGCTTTAGTCTCTTTTTTAGTCTATGGTTTAATCTCTGCTTTAGTCCTGTTTATTCTCTGCTTTTTTCCACATTTATTCCTGGTTTAGTCCTGTTTCAAATCCCCCTTTGTCAAAGCTGGATTTAAGTACTTTCTTTGTCATTACTGATGCAGAGTTTGTTGCTGATGTGAAAGTCAATCTCCTGGTTTTTCTCATTCTGCTGGTTTCAAATGTTTCGTTTACATTTACTTGGAAAAGAAATTTGTAGAAAATAAACGCGTCCAGAAAAATCAGAGGAAAGTTCCAAAATCTGTAATCCAGATCATTTTGAAGGAAAACGTGAAAAGTGTAAAATCCATCGGAGAAAGTCCTGGGTCAGACTTGGTTTAGTCCTGCTTTAGTCCTGGTTCGGTCCCAGGTTCAGACTGAGGTTGCTGCTGAAGGAAACGACTCACTGAAGAGAATAGGAGGAGCCAAAGAGAGGGAGGGAAAGACTCTAGACCTGCTTTAGTCTTGATTTAGTCTTGCTTTAGGTCAGTTTTAGTCCTGCTTTAGTCTCTGCTTTAGACCGGGTTTGATCCTGCTTCAGACCTGCTTTAGAACTGCTATAGCCCCACTTTAGACCAGCAGTATATTAGACCAGCAAATGTACATGTATACCTTTTGGGATACATGGGATTAGTTCTGTTTTAGACCTGCTTTAGTCCTGCTTTAGACCGGTTTAGTCCTGGTGAAGACATTTTTTAGTCCTGGTTTGGACCTGCTTCAGTCCCGCTTCAGTCCTGCTTAAGTCACATGAGGAGAGCCCAACAGATCCTTACATTATTTAGATGCTGTAAACCATAATGAAACAATAACGAGCACTCGGAGAGCACATACCGCACCAATTGAGATTTGCTCAATCCTCCTGCAGACATACTGTACATGCGCACTCACGCTCATACACACACACACACACACACACACACACACACACACACACACACACACACACACACACACACACACACACACACACACACACACACACACACACACACACACACACACACACACACACACACACACACACACACACAGGGCTAAAAGCTTTCTATATTGACTGAAATCTGATCCGTCTGAACCAGGGGCTGAGAGAAGCTGATCCTCTCTGTTACCTCCCTACTCAGTCTGAAAAGATGTGACAGAGACCAAAAATATACAGTCATGTGAAAACTAGTGATAGAAGCAAACGGTTTAAGAGCCAAGGATTTTATGACAGAATTTGTTTTTTGTTCTCTGAAAGTGACGTAACCCAGCTTTAAGTTTATGACACTGTGACAACTATACATTTACAGCAGAAGTCTAGGGACTTTTATATAGGTGACATTTTAATGGTTTCCTCAAAAATGTACCACTTTTTGGGTCATTCTATCTACTTGAAGCTTGCTTAGATGTTAAATCTACCTCATTGGGGCATCTCTATTTAGGTTTTAGGCACTTTTACCA